AGGTGACACTGAAATTCTTCCTCTTAGCAAGATCCATGCAAGCAGTGCCCCACTCAAGCAGACCCTCAGAGAAGCTCCTGATGCTGCATCTGTTTCATCAGACCAGTGGTCTGGTGAGCTACAATGTACTTCTCAGGTCCACAGCTGCATTGCCTAAGTCCTACTACTCAGCCACACTGGTGCAAATAGTGCCAGTGAACTTAAAGCTGACATAGCTGACATTGATCCCCCACCCACCATTAGAACAAGGCTGGAAGGCCTGTTCTAAAACTGTGTGTAGCTATATCCCTGTGAGGATGCGGAGTGCATCTTGATCAACCAAGAGGTCAAAGTAAGTAGTCTATAGAGATGCCAAGAAAATCCTGATACTGTTAGTTGATTATTAACCAGCCATATCAGCCAACACAAATCCAATAACCAATTTACAGGAATGCAGCTGGGCAGCATGAAGAACAGCTCCCTGCAGGTAAGTCTGTGGAGGGGAAGGAGGATGGGGGAGGGAAGGGGCGTGGTGGGGGCAGATCGAGGCCCTCACGGTGAGGGAGGGAGTGGGGCTGGGGAGGCTGCCCAGCCAGGGCAGTGAATGGGGCCGGGGTGGGGCATGGGACAGAGCTGCAGGCAGCTTGTCCAGGTGATCAGTGTCCTGGTGCTTACAAATGGTGGCAGCAGCGCTTGAGCTAAAGCTTGTCAAATGAGCTTTATTGCAAGCGCCACCACCACCATTTTTGAGCATGGAGATGCTTTTTAGTGGAGCTGACTGGGGCAAGGGTGGATGTTGGCTGCCCACTGTGGGCTCAGGGCTCTCCTCTCTGCTGCCTTTCTCTTGGGAGCCCCATGCTAGCCATGTGTCCCTTGCCTAGAAAGGCAGCAGAGTAGAGATCCCTGAGCCCACAGTGAGCAGCCCGCATCTGCCCCTCACACAAATTGGGGGTGGGTGGGGGGTGGGGCACATGCCCCTTGGACTAGCTGCCATGGCTCTGTCCTGTTCCCTGCCCTGCCCCCTGGTCCCATTCACTGTTCTGGCTGGGCAGCGCTGCCAGCCCCTGCCCATGCCTCACTCCTTTCCTCACCATGGGGGCCGTGATTTGCCCCCCACACCATACCCCTTCCTTTCCCCTCCACAGATTTACTTGCAGGGCACTGCTCCTTGCTGCATTCCTGGCCATATGCATGTGTGTGGCTGCGCACATGCACGTGGCATCCAGGGACCCTGGCCAGAAGGCATATTGTATTTATCAGTGACATTTTTGGCTACACCTGCCAAAAAAAGTGAGAGCTGATAATGCTAATTTTCCTTTTCTTGATGCCGATCCGATATGCAACAGATATATCAGTGTACCTCTAGTAGTCTCCCTAAGAAACCACCTTACACATACACATTCAACAACTCACAGCAATGAGGCTGTTATGCAAAGCTCCCTCTCCCCTCCTTAGGGGCCTACACACGTGCTCACAGATAAAAGAGCAGTGATGCATAACTTCAAAAGACAAAGGAAAACCAGGTCTTCTTCCTCTCTGTCAGGAAGCTATGTGTCTCTGGAACCGGTGCATCTGTCGTCATGTTATTCTGGTAGCTCTGTACTGCCTTGGTCTCCAGAACACCTTGCAGATGACCCCAGATGAGATCTGTTCAGGAGCCACAAGAGGCCCTGGAATAAAGCCTGAGCACTATGGTTGCCACCCTAGAAAGGGAAATTCTTGCAAGCAGAAATGTTTGCAACATGTTACAACATCCAATACTAGCTTCCCCTCAGACACTTCTCTAATCCTTTGGGCACCTGTTCTGATGTTCCCCTTTCTACCCATTCATGAGTGGGGTTTGTTCCTGACCCTTTGTCTCTGGTTATCAAACACATCTCATCCCTTGTTCTCGTTGCATTGTAGCATACCAGTTCCTGTTTCTCGGAGTGCTAACAGCACTGGTCTTCTCCCTACTTCGTTCGTTATCCCTTTTGTGGCTGTTACAGACCACAGCTTACACCCCATCACACCATGATATCCCAAGCTTGGAGAAAACTGAGACAGGATGCAAGCTGGATTGAATGAGACTATTTTCTGCAGTGCAAAGCATCTTACTTCACTGCTGGAAACCCTCAATTAGGCTGGTTGAAGAGATTCTCTCAGCGATGCAATGTCATCTTTTGCCAGCAGCAGCCTCAGCGCTGCTTATACTGCATTGCTTCCTTCCTTTGAAGTACTTTGTCTTGTCCTTGGTTTGGTACAAGAGTACCTGGCAGTGATAGCTCTGCATCCTCATCTGTATTGCTTTCTGACACATTATGGTAGCACAGTTCCTAATGAGATTTGGACACTGGTTCAGACCAGTCTTCTCCTTGGGACCACATCTCAGTGTTGAGGGAACTCAGAAGGTGTTTCTTGCTCCCTTTGAACCACTCACTATCTGCTCATTTTATCATCTATAAGTGAAGACAGAAGAGGTCTTCACATCAGCTAGGAAGATAAGGGAAATTCATACCTCCACAGTGAGATACCTACTACAAAAAATCACCTCTGGTTATCCTGTCAACCAGCCTGTTTACCTCTGCTGTTCTTTCCCCAGCTGAATTAATTCTTTCCTCAACTACCCAGAGTGAAAAGAGAGTTCCCACATTGGGCATTGTGAGAGTATTATTCTTTTGCTTTGTTAGGACATGACAATACAGGTGTGCCCACAGGCCTGTTGCGGTGGTTGTACATCAAGTTAAGGGACCACTTATGCCTTAAATGGGTCATAAATGCTGCGAGGACTAATCCACTCTAAAGATTAGAGTTCTTTCCACATGAGCTCCAGTTTGAACTACAACTTGCTAGAGAAACATCAACAGATTGGATAGGCACAGAGTACTGCAACCTGAATTTTGATCCACACTTTTATTACTCATTATTTGTCAGTGCAAGTTTCCAAATAGATGCTTGTTTTAATACAAACAGGCTAGTCACTCTTCAAGGAGTCCTCAGTTTGCCTGCCTTATGGCGTCAGGTTGACCACTTATTAATTACTACAAGTCAAGTGTGTGTGGACATTTGCTTGAAAAAGACAGTACAGTTTGTCATCCCAAATGTCCTGTGGTTCTACGAAATATGTATATCAGTGAAAGAACAGAGTGGTAGTTTTAACTGCCCTGCCTCTTCTGTCTTGTGGTATACTGAGAAGGTTCTTAGAGCACAAGGGTTGTCCCAAGGGGCACTGCTATTTAAAATAATTCAAATTCTTGGTCATGAGATGCTGGCATATGAAGAATAGGACCTATATCATAGAATCATAGATGTAGGGTCAGAAGGGGCCTTGCAGATCTTCAAGTCTGACTCCCTGCCTGGGCAGGAGGAAACTGGGCTCAAATGACCCCAGCCAGGTAGGCATCAAGCCTCTTCTTAAAGACCCCCAGGGTAGGAGCCAGCACCACTTCCCTTGGAAGTTGGTTCCAGATCCTAGCCACCTTTACTGTGAAGTAGTTCTTCTGGATGTCTAATCTAAACCTACTCTCCAACAACTTGTGGCCGTTATTCCTTGTTATCCCGGGCGGGCGCTAGGGGAAACAACGTCTCCCTCAAACCCTTCTGGTCCCCCCTAGTGAGTTTATAGATGGTCACCAGGTCCCCCCTCAGCCTTTTCTAGTGGAGGCTGAACAGGTTCAGGTTCCGTAGCCTCTCAGTGTAGGGTCTGCCCTGCTGTCCCCGGATCATGTGGGTGGCCCTCCTCTGGACCCTCTCCATGTTGTCCACATCCCTCTTGAAGCGGGGGGCCCAGAACTGGACACAGTACTCTAGCTGTGGCCTGACCAGTGTTGCGTAGAGGGGGAGGATCACCTCCTTGGCCCTGCTTGAGATGCACCTGTGGATGCACGATAGGGTCCGGTTGGCCCTGCCAACCGCGACCTCGCATTGTCGGCCCTTGTTCATCTTGGAGTCAGTAATAACTCCAAGATCCCTTTCAGCCTCCATGCTCTCAAGAAGGGAGTTTCCCATCTTATAAGTGTGCTGCTGGGTACTACTGCCCAAGTGCAGCACCCTGCACTTGTCAGTACTGAAACGCATCCTGTTTTTGTTAGCCCACCCCTGCAACCTACCCAGGTCTTGCTGCAGTCTTTCCCTCCCTACTAGCATGCCCACCTCACCCCAAATTTTGGTATCATCAGCAAATGTGAACAGGTTGCTTTTCACCCCCTCGTCCAAATCGCTGATAAAGAAATTGAACAGTGCGGGCCCAAGGACCTAGCCCTGGGGGACTCCGCTGCCCACTTCCCCCCCAGGTCGAATATGACCCATCCACCACCACCCTCTGAGTACAACCCTTCAGCCAATTTGCAATCCATCTGACTGTATATGGACAACACCTCTCAAAAACTACAGTCACTTGAAGGCAAGTAACTAGTCTTTCCCAGTGGTCTAGATCCTTAGATCATTCAGGTGTCTGATTTTTGACTAAGAAAAGTCATAGTGGTATGTACCAATCTAACAAGAATGTTTTCCTTCCCATCTATATGAAAGTGCCTAATGGCATCAGGCCAGATTTTCAGAAGAGGTCAACATCCAAATGTCTTCACTTTGGCACCTGAGCAAATGGGCAGATTTTCCAAGGTGGAAACAAGGGGAACAACTTGATGCTTGCTATATTTGAGCACTGGTCTGTTTATTTAGATGCCTCAATAGCAACTGAGTTATTTTGAAAATATGGTCCATAATTCAGTCAAATACTTAATAAGGCATCTAAATCCGTATTAAACTCGGTGGGATTTTTTGCTTGGTTAAAGTAAGGCAGGTATTTAAATATTTTGCTAAATCAAGGTGAGAGGTCCGAATCAAAAATGATCTGACGTTGATAGGAGTTTTGCTACTGACTTGGACAGGCTTTAGGACAATCCTATAGGTAAAATGGGCTGGTAAAAATAACCTACTAAGAGAGGAACATTTCAAAAACTGGGTAAGACACGAAACTTTGAGGCATAGGTGCATAATAGAGGCCCAGTTTTTCACCTAAACTTTATTTTCACCTATTTTAGAGATGAAGAAGAGAAAGAGAAAAAAAAATCTCACACAGATGGTACTGATGAAAAGGATAATGGCTCCCACCCAAAGGGTGTCAATCGGATTGGAAATTCCAATAACCCATTCCTAGATATTCCCCATGACCCCAATGCTGCTGTTTATAAAACTGGATTTCTGGCTCGGAAAATCCATGCAGATATGGATGGAAAGAAAAGTGAGTACCTATTCTTTTATCTCTTTGTGCTGCTCAGTAGTAAAAGGCCTTAGGCCCATAGGCAAGGACACTTCTGTTGCATCAGGGGATACTGAAGGAAGAAGAAACAAAATAGGGTTTTGATTATCACAGCAGAAAATAATATTATCAGGCAATTATGAGGACTGTTATGTGGCCAGTGGCCTAAAAAGTTAATGATACATACATCCTTTTGCAGTTGCTTTGTTGCATTTGCACAATGAAATGTAGTGTTGGACAATAATGTTCATCTTTTGTGCTTAAAGAAAATGAAGTTTGTAGTTTACAAAGCTGAAAGCCGTTTCATCTGAAGTACCTAGAGGTTATTTATATGTCTTTTCTATATGTGATACCAAATTACAATAACAAACATTTAAGGATTTTGCCCTCATTCAGCTATAGAGAAAAAAACTGTTCTTACCCCTTGAAATCAATTTGCAGCCACACTGGGGCTCACATCTGTCACTAGATAACCAATTAGTCAATTCCCACAGATATTTATTGATCTTTCAGAGTAACCCTTTAGTTTAGGATAGAGGTGGCCAACCTGTAACGCAGGGGCTGCAAGTAGAATGCGCAGCCTTGTGGGTCACTTGGCAGACCTGGGAGAGGACAAGAGCACAGGGGCAGATAGGGTAGGAAGCATAAAACCAAGCAGCAGATTGAACAGGAAACACAGGGCATGAAGCAGAACAACAGACTGGATAGGAAGCAAGGGAGGGAACAGAAAGGAGAGCAGTTAATCAGGCAGAGGAAGAGAATTGGAGCGGTACTCAGGGATAGTGTGGGACTAATTTGTGGCATGCCTGCCAAAAAGCTTGACCCCTGCTGGTCTAGGAGGTCATTCCTTATTAGTGGAGTATAATTCTCCCCTTTAAATTAGGCATTGCACCCTTTCATATATATGATGTTATATATACAGTAACTCCTGGCCCCCTCTCCATAATAAATCTGCAGCTATTCCAGGTTACATTTGTTGCTTATAATGTCGTTTCCTTTTTTTTCTGTCCCAATAATGAAGGAAGAATTATCGAGGACCTCTTATTTATGTGTCTGTATTTATCATGTTTGCAGTTTTTTATACTGTGGTTAGTAACAACATCTGTGTTTTTCCCATTTTTTATTAATGTACACCTCATGTTGATTCACATTATATTTGTTGGTATTAAGACGGGAAACAAAACCTGACATTATTACAAATTGTGAATGCCTGCAACTCTTTTTCAAAACAACTCTTGCATGACTCTTGGAGGACTGGTCTTTGGATATGGCTACTCAGTACAAGGCATAACCATGCAGTGATACTCTATGCTGGGTACAGAACTCAATATAACCACATGAGCAAAACACGATCCCTGCTTCTCTGCAGAGCTAATTAGCTCAGGCACCGTGCCATGACAATGTGCTATCCTGTTTCTGGTTCTGGAGCGAGAGTGTGCAGAGCTTGCTTGGGTATCTCTGCATGGCACTGCCTTGTGTGTATATATTCCTGCAGGTCACAGGTAGCTTGTGGGGGAGGTCTCCACACAGTATTGCATTCTGATGTGTAGGTATACACTTAGTACCTACATGTTAAGACTAGCATTTGCAGTCAGATTTCTAAAATTAAGCACTTTTACCTATATTTAAGTTCCTAAATGTAAGGTACCTTATTCTTCCTGATGAACTGATGATTTTAACAGATTCTGAGTGAACATTTTGACTTAATATCCTACCGCAGGTTTGTTAGTGCTGTCTGTCCCCTGTAGTGACTCTTAATGAATAATTGTGTGCTTGCCTTTGTTGTGTTATCTGTTTACAAAAGACTTCTTGTTTAATGGACTGAATTTTAGGGTTCCTGTGGCAACCATACCCAATTACGATAAAGGCATGGGGGCAGAATCTTCCCAGTTCACTCTGCAGTTTAGAGCCAAAGTCCCATTGAGTCAGTGGGTCTTGGGCTTCAAAGTTGCAAAGGCATTTTTGAAGAGTTTACTTTTTAGCTTTTGATCACCCTAGAGAAAGTACAGCTTAGTTTTAAAGGTTACTGTGAAGTTTTTATCTGTTTTTCTGGAGTTGCTACAGGGCAGTGTTAAAGTGTAGAAGCCACAAACATGGCAACCTGATTAAAGCCTCTGATTTTCTTCACAGAGAGAAAATACTGAACAGGGAAGGGCTCTTGACTTAGCTGAGGAAAGCATAACAAAAAGCAATAGCTGAAAGCTGAAGCTAGACAAATTCAGATTAGAAATTAGGCAGAACTTTTCTTATGAGCCAAGATAATTAACCATTGGAACAAACTCCCAGGGGAAGTGGTACATTTTATCTGTTGGTATCTTCCAACCCAGACTGGGATGCCTTTGATTAAATTCAGGAGTGGCTTGGTGAAGTGTCATGGCTGTGATATGTTGGAGCTGATTGAAAGCTTCATTTTGTCCTGAATCTCCCTAAACTTATGAATTGTTCATATTTGTACACTGGCATGTTTAAATATCCACTAAGTCTAACTTTAACTCTGAATTTTCCAGATTTGTAATGTCTATTTTGGATTACCATATTTACTCAGATACATGATGAAGTTTTCTCCCCAATCAGCATGGGAAAAAAGCCCCATGTCTTACATTTGTATACAAAGAAATCTCATTAAATACACTGTCGATCATTAAACTACTGCCAGAAGCAGCATGTGCTCAGCAATGGAAACCATCTATGACGTTGATTAAATACAGCTGAATTTGAGGATGGCTATAAAACACATGGCCCACACTGGGCAAACGTACTGATGGGAACCTTTAAAAAAATGTTGGCCTTTAAAAATAATGGGCAGGTGTTCCCTCCACAGGGAACTGGCACTGGTCCTGGTTATATTGTAATACCAGGCTCGCACCAGGCGGACCAGAGCCAACCCTAACTCCTTTTTTGATTTACTTACATTTGATCTTAGCCAAAAAGATCAAGACATTGATGAGAACCTACTGCAAGGATAGGTTAGTGTAGCTGATATGAATGAGATATATGGTAGTGCCCAGTGAGCTCAGTCCCCCTCAGTGCTGAATTTTTTTCGAGTCCTGGTGGGCCACTATATGGCATACATTTTGACTTCTTCAGTTCCACAGCTGAGCTGCACTTTTCTTTTCCATTTCCAATAATTATGTTTACTACCCTTAAATGCCTGGCAAACATCACCAAATGGGGCCCCAAGCAGTTCCCCCAGAATCCTTCTCTCATCCCCTCTCTCAGCCTGCCACTTATGATTAGTGTTGCCCTACTCTCTATGAGGTGGAGCTGGACCAGGTTGTCCTGCGCCTCATCTGCATACACAGTTTTTGGAGGATTCCAGGATTCATGACAAGAAAATCTAGTTCCAGTCATGAGTGGTGGGGCTAATTACCACATGGATCCCTTGTGGGGAGTATTTGGAGTACACACACATACTGAGCAGTGCTGAGTTTTGGGGTCAATGTGGCTGATTAATGTTTACTTTGGTGGGACCCAGCCCAGTGAACTATATGGTAAATAATGAGCCTTTTTGCTCTAGACTAATATCATGCATAGTTTATATGGTAGCTAAGTAGGTACAAAACAATGCTTAAAAGTCTGTTTGTGGCATATGTGTGCTAAAACTTGCAGCAGTTTCAAAAAAAGTAACATGCATCAATTCTGAATGAGCTAAGACTCTGAGTACTATATGCAAATTACTATAGGTATGCCTATTTCAAGGTCAGTGGGTGCATCTACACGTGCAATTCATGCGCATGAATAAACTCCAGAGCTTGTTACCCCAGTTTACTGCTCCTGGAGTGTGCTGTTCGAATTTGTGCAGGGAAGCAATACAATCTGGAGTAATAAGCTCCAGAGTTTATTCATGCGCAGCATGTGGAGCAGAGTCAGAGCAGCCTGGGCTGGCAGGAGGTCCAGGGGTGAGCTTGGGGCTGCTTTCACCAGCTCAGCATGGGGAAGGGCAACCTGGTCCCCACCTGGGGCTGATTCCCTCTGCTCAGCATGCTGCGGAAGGGCTGGCTGGGGCATGATGCTGCTTCAGCATGGGTGTGTTGAAGCACCCTCATGCTCGAGCCAGCCAGGGCAGCGTCTACATGTGCACTGCTCTGGAGTTTTTTACAAATACTATTCTGCTGTAGAGTAAATTAATTTACTGTGGCCTAATAGGGGCAAACATGTAGACGCATGATGTTTATTGCACAGCAGATTAGTCAACTGCACAGTAAATATCTCACGTAGATATGCCCAGTGTTTTCAGATTTTCTCCTAACTTCCATGTGCTCAGGGAGAGCAGGGTCTGACAATAAGAAGAGGGAGAAGGGGCTGTGGCGGGGAAGAAGTTGGGGGGTGGGCAGAGGGCAATGGGATACCTGACCCCTTAGATTTATTTTCCCTGCTGTAGCAGTGGGAGGGGGACAGATTCATGGCAAACCTTCAATAATTAGATTCTATACTTGACACATTATGACAAATTAATACATTTTCCATATATAGGATCTAATTATTGGGGAGGGTCATCTTATATTTGAGAAAATATGGTAATTCTATCATTTAAGTCGCTTTCATTTTATCTCTTGCTTAATGTAGAATTTTCTTTCTTCCTTTTTCTGGGTTTTTAATCAGATTCCATCTTTTTCACTGTTTCTGCAAGCTCTGGAAGATGCAGGAGGACAGGAAGGAGTGAGACCTCACTGCCAGCATTGTTGTTGGCAGCTGCAAGAGGAAACGATACTTCTTTGTGCCATGCCCTACTGAGCACTCAGTGGTGGTCATGAGTGGTGCCTGCCAGTGGAATCCAGAAGAGGCACACTCCTGCTGCTATCAAGCTTGCAAACTCAGAGAGACACCTATGTTGTGTGTGCTTTCTGCATGAGCCTTGATGCCTACTGAGCCTTCGCCGGCCTGTAGCTGTGACTTCTGTTTCCCCCTACAGCAGTCACTGAGCTGTCACAATGGCTAGCCACATGCTTCTTTGAGTAGCAGAATACAGAAAAGTCTTCGTTCAGGCCTAATTCAGGTTTCCTGTTGCTTAGACAAAGTGTAAAATGGGTTCCTGCTAAATGGGTTTCTTTGGTTTGTTTTCTCTTTAGCTCCCAGAGGGAAACGTGGCTGGAAGACCTTTTATGCTGTTCTGAAGGGAACAGTGCTCTACTTGCAAAAGGTAAAAGAAATATGTTTCTTTGGGAAGCTAATTAAAGATTAATTAATGCTATGATCCTCAGCCTTCCTTCAGATGAGCATCCCCTCTGCTACCCACACAGCATGTTTCTCATCCATAATCAGTAAAAGTACTTGAGTCACGTGTTATTCCTAACGCGCGCGTGCACACACACTTCTCTTTTCATCACCTCAAGGCCATAAGCTATTGTCCATGGTGCTGATCTGAAACTGGCCTTTTCTGTTCTAGTTCTGTTCACTAATTCAGGGGTAAAAAATGTTCTAAATTGGAGCAAAAAACTAAAATGTCTTAATTTCCTGTGGAGCAATTTAAAAAAAGTCAAGTCTGAGTCATATATGGTATAGAAATACTCAATATAATATTATATTGAAATACCAAATGTAACATAAAGGTCAGGACTAAGTGAATTGAAAAAACAACATTGCAATGATTCATTTAAATGACTTCTCTCAGAAATGTCATCAAAATGAACACATTCACATAAGAGCTTGATTTTGATTAAATAGTGGTTTCCCAGAGAAAACTATTCAGAAATATTTTGACCAGCTTCAGTTTGCGCTTTCTTCTTATGACTACTGAGCAGACAATTTTCAATGTATATAAACACTGTCTAGATTTGGTTGTGTTCTACTTCTCTCCCACCATAGCCATTTGTTTCAAAGGGACAGATTCCAAATGCCATTGACATCAAAGAGTGTCCTTTGGTTAAGTTTCATTGGTCTTTGGCTTTAAACTTTTCAGGGCAGGTACTCTATGTTCAGTACCTATTGCACTGGGGTTACTGCTCCATAATTGGGACCTTTGGATGCTGCCCTAGAATAGCTGTATAGCTGAATCTTGTATCCAGAGTATATGCTATAATGCATTACTTCAAGGTGAAGGCATTACCATATGACCATTTCTTTACACTGCCATAATAATAGTGAAACAATGCCTAGTTCTTGGCTTGTAAAAGCTAATTCTCTGCCCCTTAACTGCCACTTGGGCTGCCTCTGAGAGGACCACCAAGGACCTTGGGCCTCATTGCCTTGCTATGCCAGCCCAGCTTTGAAAAAGTTAGCAAGAGGAGCCTTTGGGAGAGGTTGAGAGGAGTAGATCCTGTGTGGGACACAGGGTATCTAGAAAAGGAGGTCATCATAGAATGATGGAGCAAGGGGAAGCTGGTGGAAGACTGAGGAGGAAATGGGGGATGGAGAAGGAATATCTTTTTGTCAGGTGGACTGGTATTAGCAAAGGGCGCCCATCAGGGTAACTAGAAACAATGGCCGCAAACTGAAGGAGAGCAAATTTAGAATGGACATCAGGAAAAAATTCTTTACAGTGAGGGTTGCCAAAATGTGAAATACGCTTCCAAGGGAGATGGTGCTGTCCCTTTCCTTGGAGGTATTTAAGAGGAGATTGGACAAACACCTGGCTGAGGTCATCTGAACCCCCCAGGGCAGGGGGTCAGACTCACTCTTTCCTGCCCAGGGCAGGGGGTTGGACTCGATGATCTAATAGGTCCCTTCCCACCCTAAGATCTATGGAATCTGTGGTGATTGTGCACTATTGTTTCTTACCCCCCGCTATTTTAGGAAAGCATGTAGTAAGAGATGATTGATCCATGCTCCAAAAAGTTTTACAGACTAAATAAAAAAGGCAGACAGAGGATAGAAAGCGAAAGTACCACAGCAAAAATTGACTTACCCAATGTCACACAGCATATCAGTGGCAGGGCTGGGAGTAGAACCCTGGCATCCTAAATCTTAATCCAGTGCCCTTTCCTGTACTCTTATCAGTGTGAGTCCCATATTATATTAACCTGAAATTCTTGACTGGTTTATCTTCGTTATCTTAAATGAATGGCAACCACCTTCCTCTGGAATTTGACTTCTGGAATAAATCGTTGTTAGCATTTGCTTCAAGAGGCAGAGCGACTACATAAAGCAATTCAGTCAATTATTAAAGTTGCAGTGTCCGTGGGGCATGATTTTATTTCTTGACATGTACCTGAAAGGGGAGGATTCACTTAATAAGCTTTCAAAAAGGAAACATGTTAAGCCTCTCCTCTCTATTTTCATATCTTAATAAAATGCTGTTATGGGTAGTGTTAAACACTTTGTATTTTGAAAAATAAATTAAATACTGGGAGTGTAGAGGGATATTTCCTGAGGACCCTTTCTTCCCCTTCATCCTTTGGAAAGTAAGAGTAATCTCCCATCTAGCTCCCAAAACAAAAATGCACTGATGGAGTTCACTTGTCTTTTGTGTCACTTCAACCCCAGTTGGCAAAGCATTAACATTCTTTTATAGCAGTTGAGTTATCATGGTGTGTTTTACTGCTTCATCCTGATTTCTTTAATGCATTTCTTTCATTCTCATAAATCCTGCAGTGAAAAATGGGGCTTCAGGAGATGTGTCAATTCATGGATTAATTTTTAATAAATCCTTTTTCAAGCCCCAAAGGACTTCATGACATGTTTGAGAATTTTGAGCTTGCTTGCCCCAAGCTTATGCACATGATACCCCTGCGCTGTCACAATTAACAATTGTCTTTTTGACTTGTCACCTGACTGAGCAGAGCTTTGCATGAACTTTCAAAATGAACCCTCAGTCTTCAGGGAGAAAGTAAATATGGGAATTATTAGCTCACATTCTTTTCTGTTTTGGGAAAAACAAAGGGTTTAAAATTAGTTTGGCAAGCTTACCAGCTCACCAGTAGCAAAGCCTACTGAGTTGTGGTTTCCTTCTGCAGTATATTATATTAAGATTATCCTGACTTCTAGGAGAGCTGTAGAAATCCTGGTTTCCATGGAAGGTAGTCTGAGAAATGTAGTGCCCTGCTACTGACCAGCTCTGTGTTCTCAGGAAAATCATTGCCTTTCCCTCTGCCTCCATTTCCCCTTGCATCTTTTGTCTTCCTCATCTCTTTGAACTCTGACATCTTCAGGCACTCTCTCCCTCTGCTTGCACAGCCCCTATCAGAGTGTAACCCCAATCTGATCTGCTCCCTCTGGATCTTCTTGGCATATAAGTAATACCTTATTTATTTGCATTTCACTTGTACATTTTTAACAAAAATTAGCCATTCAAAATGGGGATGGGCAGTATCTTAAGTGACCAAATTGATTTCTGCACCAAAATAGAGGCATGGGGATGCTGGAATGGCTGTGGGGGAGCTGTGCTCAGCTCCTAACCTCATGAAGTCAGGGTGGTGTCTACTCATCAGCATCATGCACCTTCTACCTACAGTTGCATAGCTAGTGATTTAACCCTCTCATAGCTGCTGCTTTATTAGCAGCAGTTTTAGCTGACAAGTGGACTTTGGTCCTGCTCCATGCAGGCAGTGTTCAGCTATGATTGAGCCTGTGCTGTGGCAGGTAAGATTCTGGAAAAAATCTTTTTTTCTCCTTTCTGCCTTCCAAAAACAAGGGGACATGTGGTATAGCATGTGAATAAATCTAGTAATTGTTAGATATCTTACCCTGCCAGAGGGTAACTAAGCCCCGATTATGTTCTCATGACATGGGTATGGATGTAGAAACCATTTACTATAGGGACAGAGTAGGGTGAGACTTTGCTCTTCACCAGCTGATTCATAATAACTGCCCATTTGTATGCTCTTACCCCACGGTAAGTGGTAGCTGAATTGCAGCAGTTTAGCCCTTGGACGTAAGTGACTGTGTTCTAGCTTCTGCTTAACATCAATTAAGAACATGCACATAAGCAATTACCACAGAGCAATGACATGCAGAAAAGCTCCTCCCCATTTATCTGGTGGTAAATTGTTAATATGTACATATCATATTTTTTTTACCAGTTTATCTCACTATCCCTGTTTCTTTTTAAAGACATTTTCAGCCCCAGTATCTAAGTAACTTGTATTGGGATTAGCATGGGTAGACTCAGACATTATGCCCACATATCTATTCTGTGGAATCGCTCCAGTGCTAAACTGTTGTACTGCATATTGTTTCATGTTTTAATGAGTGATTTGAAAGGGATGGTTTCTGAATCAGTGAGCAGTGAGACTGCTGGAGGGGGCTCAGCTGAAACACTTGCAATTAGCTAGCGAAATATGTCTGCACAATATTATATAAAATCAGAGATTTGACATGTTTGTGATGTCTGCCCTGTTCATGGGCATCTCCAGGCCAAGGTTAATTTCCTGCTCTCTGATTATAATCTGATAGGAATTTAGCAGAATAGGAAACTGTCACTATGTCTGTTCATTAAACTGAGCTGAAATGTGATGTGCCTATAGAAGACAGAGCTATAAGGGAAGAATGGTAATATGAACTGGCTTGCAAGAAATTTTTCCTCAGCAAACAGTGCAGTAAAGCAGGCCTTAGATTTTCCTTTTGATTCGATTTTGTTTTTGGCAATAGTGTGATATAGCATCTCTTTATAATGATATGGGCTTTAGGAATACTCCTTATAACTACTCATCAAGTAATAGAAATGAGTTGATACAAGAGAAAAGTAGGATGTAGAGTTATTGTCACAGAGACCCAAGTTAAGTGTCAGCTCAGTGGGAGTTATGGGACCTTTGAAAGGAAAGAGTTTTGGAACTATGACATGTTAACTCAATCAGTTTGTCCATGCGTTGCACAATAGCTTGTAAAAAGTAAAATACCCTGCTTTGCCTTTCTTAATCCATTTGTAATGAAGCACAGACAGTGGGTCAGCTGAAGGTAGAAGAGTCAGTTTTGATCAGCTACCCGAGAAGCCAAAATACACGTTCAGTAGGACACCAAGGAAGAACACGGCATTCACAAATACATGGGGTTCTTAATGATGTCACAGCTCCTGGCAAGTCTTCAGAACATTTCTCTTGCACTACCTCCATCTGACATGGTTTGGGCTTGAGCCAGCTGCCATCCAGGCGCTCCTATCTCTTTCAGACATTAGATCATCGGGGGGAACTTCCTTCAGTTCCTGTTTGAAAGAAATGTGTAGCTGGATATTTTCCAAATACCAGGAGCTCTTCAATATAAGTGGTCTTACAGCATGCCAGTCACACAGGATCAAGGACTTCTGTTGAAGAAGTTTGACTGCCCATTTCAACCATTGAGAGTGTTTGCACAAGTGAGACAAAGTAAAATAATTCAAAGCAATTCCAAAGGTCTTGGTCAGGGCTTTTAGGGAAGTTAACAGAGCCACATAATCCATGGTAGTGTGGGCTGCCAATCGGCCTGTTATGATTAACATGGATGTAAGAAGGGATAATACATCAGTGAAGCTTGCTCAGAAGGGGTTTAGGCCACTTCAGGGAGTCAGTACACAGTTGGAGTTGACTTGCCATCATCTTTTCAAAAATCTGTGGCAACAAGATGGGAAGTAAGACTAGCAATAGCTGTCAGGATCATTGATGTCCAGTGCCAGCTGCTTGAATGAGGGCCAGACCACCATATGCTTAAGATTTAGCCATGCTTGTTTGTCTCCATTAAACATGATTTGCAATGATCCCTATTACTTGCCACTAGCTTTCATCAAACCAGTCCCTTGAGGCAGCACCACACAAGGCCTGCTTGGTTGCCCTCCTCTGCTCGCATCTCATTTGCATGCAGACTAGGAGCCAGATCCTGTTGCACCAAGTAGGCACCTAAGTATAAGCCTATTCTACCCTGCTCTAGTCCATGAAAAACAGCCATCAGAAAAGATGGGTGTGTCCTCCTCCTATTTGTTACCTTTTTTAAATTAGTGTTAAGAGATCAGAAGGTCAAGTATAAAATGTTGATGCATCGGTATTTTTTCAGGGCCTTGAGTCTGATGGAATAGACTCACACTTAGGCAACTACCATATTTTTTGCATATACCATACCCTTGAATATAACATTCTCCCTATTTTTGCAAGGCCTCAGAAATGAAAAAAATTGTACCATGGAGTTTGGGTAAGTGGCAGAGGACTGGGGTCTCCAGAGCTGGGGGCTGGGAGCTGCATGCCAGGGCCCAAGCAATATGCTGGTACTGGGGCTGAGCAGCTTGGTAACGTCAGAGCTGGGGCCAAGTGACATGGCCCAATCTGGCATGTGGCCCAGTGGGACCCAATCTGGCATGCCAGTTCCAGAGCAGTAGGGTGGCCCAGTAAGGCCTGAGCCAGCAGGCCAGCTCTGGAGCAGTAGGGTCTAATTCAGTATACCAGCTCTGGGGTCATGTGGCCTGGCAGGGTCCAATCTAGTATGCTGCCTCGGAGGCTGTATGACCTGGTGGCGCCCTATCCAGCACGCTGGCATCAGTTGTGTGCCAGGTCTGATCCTACACACACACTGTGGAGTCGCATGCAGGCTCCAGGGCTGTGAGTTGGGTTGAACCTGGCACTGCAGCCACAGACCAGCCCCACACACCTCTGCATGGGGGCAGAAATTAATGGCAGAGGGGTGGAAAGGGAGGGAGCAGTGGCTTCCAGCACTGCAGCAATTAATACTTGCATCACTCCACTGCCCTACCCCCAAATTAATTTCTGGACCTGTAAGAAGCCCTTTTTCTTGCGTATAGTGTGCACTCCAATTTTTCCCAGCTGGTTTTGAAGGAAAAGGTGAGGGCTAAGGTGAGTATAATTAAATATGACAATCGGATGAGGTGCTAACTAAATAAAGGTTTTTAGGGGGAGTACCCTGGCATAGTAAGCATTTAAGAGCAAATTCAGGCAAAGATTATCTTGGTTCATTATATGGCCAACTAACTAGAGCAGCTAAACTGATCAGGACTCTGCAGGAGCTAGAGTGATGGAAGAGGAGGTGAGTTGCCTTCTCGCACTGCCACAGCATAGGACCATGCAAACTCCTTATGCTACATTTATTTAGATTACTTAGATTCAAAGGTGTTCTTTTGCCAGCAAAGCTCCAGTCTTCTACCATTTTATTTCAGCCATTTCAGGCAGAGGGAAAATGATCATGACTTTTATACATGGTAGGGAAGAGTGATCTGTGGGCTGGTGGATTAACTGGTGACTGCAGATTTTTATAAATGCCTGTCTGCTCCAGCAGAGCATTTGATTCAGTTTCAGCTGACTTATCGTAGGGGGCACCAAAAAGTAAGTCTGCTAGCTGTTGTGCAAATGAGCAGCTCTGTCCATATTCTGGGGCAAGTAACGATTCACTCATGGAATTGGTGTCACTCACTACACCCCCAGCACAGAACAAACGCAGCCTGTGTCCCTCAACATGATCAGCTCAGGAGGCCGCGTGGGAGAACCGCAATGAAATTGTAACCCAATGCACCAACAGGCCAGTTACCCGTCCCAGGATGATGAGTTTTCGAGAGACCCCATTTAGCAACAGCTTCTTGGGCTCTGGCTTTAGGGCAGCTTGTACATCCCCAAAACAGCGGCTCAAGCTTTCCCATGCCCTGTGGACTATATCTGCAGGAGCCGAGAGCTACGCCAATCTGTGCCAGCTGAGGACCTATTCTCTGTTTAAAGCCATTCATCTATGCTGAATTTGTCTTTCCTAGAGCAGGTCTCTGACAAATGTCCAGCACTAGATCAGTGCCTGACCAGCCCCCAGCCCAATAGCTATTGGTAATCAGGGCGACGGATCACCCAGTGCCTTCTCTGGTTTGTTTACCCTTGATCCAGGCATGGCACATTTTGTGGCAATTATGTATCATGCTGCTTAGTACTAGGAAGCTGAGAGAAGAATAAAAGACATTCAGGTTGACTAGTGTGAGCTGGTTGTAGGTTAGGGATATAGACAGGTGAAGGGCTGTTTACACCTTTGTTTAAGAAACAATTCTATCAGCTTATCCCATGGCAGCCTTGCCAGCAAATGACTTCTTCCCTTCACATGCCCCTTTCGTTACTTGGCCATGAGGTTACTTAGGCACCTGTGCCTGGTGGACTAGAGTCTTTACTTCTCGCACTGCAGTGCTCCAAATGGCACTTGGAATATTTTTTTTCACTGACAACCAGAACTATGATTTTGATGTCATTGTGGTCCTAAAGCAATCAAGAACAGAATGAGTTCCCAGGCTGAAACTTTCAGTACTGAGGAATTTAGCCTATTGTTGCTGCAGCAGCTTCAGTTATGGGCCAAGACCTCATTGTGCCATTGCTGTACAAATACAGAACAGAAAGATGGTTGTTGCCCCGGAGAACTTATAATGTACATATAAAATATGAGTACAGGACAGGGCTTATTTGAGGTGGTTGCCTAGAAGTAATCTGAAAGATCTCTTTCAGTCCTGTGTTCCTGTCAGAGACAACAGAACAAAAGGAGTGGATTGACTTGGGAGTACAAGGAAACCATGAGGGAATGTTGATCATCCTGGTGGGCAGCACTTTTAGCATGTTTGATAGCCTGACCATTGCCAGATGTTTTGTAGCATTACAGAAAAAGAGAGGTTATAAAAGAAGATACCGTGTTAGTTGGGGATTCGTTAAAAAGAGGTCCTCCCAAAGTGAAGAGGCAGCATGGGGGAAAGTCACAAAGTACTTACAGAAGCAAGTGATAGGAGCTAGTGTCTTGGGCCAGTCAGAGAAGAAAGTGAACTTCTTGATGGTGAAAGCAAGGGATAGGCCATGAAGGTCCCTGAATATTCGTTCCTTGATGTGGTAGAGAAGGGGACAGTTTGTGGAGGGATGCATAGAGGTGATTTATCCTTTTCATGATTCCATCCTTTCTGCTCTTCCCTCTTGTTGGGAAGATGATGGTAGAATTTCTTCACATCTTTTGTAGAGAGATTAAAGAATATGAAAAGGTAGCATTTTAATAGCAGGAAAGGCACATGTTTTAGGGCTGATTAAATTAAATTTCTATTTTTTAATGTTGCTGATGGCCCTATGTGAGGCAAGACTTTATTGCTTTTCTTAGGTTAAAGAAAGAGATTAATAGTATAGAATAATTTATACCGTCTTTTCATTTTTAAATCCTGCAGGATGAATATAAACCAGAAAAGGCTTTGTCAGAGGAAGATCTTAAAAATGCAGTGAGTGTACACCATGCATTAGCATCAAAGGCAACTGACTACGAGAAAAGGCCTAATGTTTTAAAGCTCAAAACAGCTGATTGGAGAGTCCTGCTTTTCCAAGCCCAGTGAGTTTGCAAATTTATTATTTTGATATGGGTGTTCAATTTATGGGAAACAAAAAGGTGGGAACAGAGGGGACCATATTTTTTAACATTCTGGGATGGAGACGAGTCAGCATAGATTTGTGACTTGAAGAGTTAAATCAAAAGCTTAAAGAGCTTTATCTTTTTAGCTAATCAAAAATAAGCCTGAGAAGTAACTTGATTATGATGTATATATACTTCACGGGGAGAAAATGCTGGGCACAGAAAAGTTCTTTAATTTAGCAGAGAAAGACGTAACAAGAAGCAGCAACTGGCAGTTGAAGCCAGATGAAATTAAAATTGGAAATAAGACGCACACCTTTAACAGCAAGGGTGATTAATCATTGGAACAAGCTACTTAGGGCAATGTTGGATTCTCCCTTCTCCTTGTGTTTTCAAAATAAAACCAGATGCCTTTCTGGGAAGTAAGTTCTATTCAAACGTAAGTTTTCTGAGCTCAGCACAAGAGTCCCTGGCTGGAATTTTCCAACCTGCACTATACATGAGGTCAGAATTGATGATTTAAAGGCTCCTGGGTTTAAAAATCTGAATCTATGCCTAAGCCCTGATCTTCCACAGAGAATTTCATGGAGCCCTCCTGAAGTCAGTGGAGCTTTGTGAGGGTACAGTAGCTTTCAAGCTACTTGTATAGGTTGTCAGCTTGACTTGGGAAGCCAAGAGTTGCAGCTTCAAAGAGATAGAGCTCACAGTAAAGGATTCTAGCTTGGTCTTAATACTTTTACTCGCAACTTTAAATATTGCTTCTGTCTCCTGACATTGAAAAAAAAAATTGGATTAAATACATTTGGTGTTGTTCTGGCCCACTTGCAGGTGGCCACAGCACATTCCTAATATACCAGGATATGATGCAGCTGTTTAATCCAGTTATAGATCCCATGGGGTGCATCTACATGAGATGTTTACTGTGGAGCTGCCTAATTAGCTCCGCAGTAAACTTTCTATGTCTACAAGTGCGGCCCTATTAGATCGCAGTAAACTGATAAATGCCACTGTAAGTTACTACTTATACATACAAGTACTATCCTGCTGCAGTGCTATTTACTGCACAGCAGTGCATGTGTAGATGCTAATGGGGCTGGCTGGGGCATGAGGGTGTTGCCTGCTGGCTAAGGCCTGCACTAAAGCACCCTAATGCCCCAGCGAGCTCCTCTAGCATGTTGAGCTGGGTCAGAGCAGCCCCAGGCTGGCAGGCTGACACCCTGGACCCCCTGCCAACCCGCTCAATGTTCTGCAGTCTCAGGTACACATATAAACGGAGCACCTGAGAGCAATAAACTTTGGCACGATATACAGAGAATAGAAGACTGAGGGGGGATTTAATAGTAGTCTTCAACTACCTGAAGGGTGGTTCCAAAGAGGATGGAGTTAACTGTTCTCAGTGGTGGCAGATGACAGAATAAGGAGCAATGATCTTAAGTTGCAGCAAGGGAAGTTTAGGTTAGATATTAGAAAGAACTTCTTCACTAGGTAGTAAAACACTGGAACAGGTTACCCAGAAAGGTTGTGGACTCTCCATTCTTGGAGGTTTTTATGACTCGGCTAGAAAAACCTTGTCTGGAATGATCTGGTTGGGGCTGGTGCTGCTTTGAGCAGGGGGTTGGACTAGATGGCCTCCCAAGGTCCCTTCCAACCCTAATTTTCTATCATTCTCTGATTAATTGCACAGGTAGATGCATCCCTGGTGTGCTAAAAAGTGAACATGTTCTTACAAGACTCACAAACTCAAGCTTGAAAGGTGCTGTAGGTTCCTTTTAGGTAGAACAAGCAGCAAAGTGAGTTTGGGAACAGTAGGCAGAGAGATGAACTCAGTCTAATACTTTAGGGTTGATTTCTGTACATGTATGATCCTACTACAAGGCCTAGTCTGATGGGGTTTTTGTCTTTCTGAAACGATTTTTGCATCTTTTTCAGCTGGTATCCTGCAAGGCATTAAGCACAGGTTTTTCTGTATGCAGTGTAGGACTACTCACGTTGCATGGAATTGTGCTCACAGGAACTGGGCTTTAGTTGGAAAAGAGAAGAAAAATGGACACATGCTTTACTTGCATGTAACTTTGTCCCAAAACAGATTTTATACCATCCAGTAGGCTTTTCTTGTTTCCTTCCTGTCTCGCCAATATCATCAGTGCTTCATTTGGTGGCACTCCCCATACAATTTTTAATTGGCGTTGCATTTCCCTAGTATTTAAGAGACTTTAATTAAAAGATCTAGAGATCTTTGTGGTACTGCAGGTCCTGGCTTGGCAGTAATCTCAAGAGTATTCTAGAGAAGCAAGTTGGTTGGGAAAGAACTGCATTTGTGCATATTTTTCTACATTAGGAAGCAAGAGACGGGGGATGACTGATACAGTTGGTTTTTTTGGCAAGGGCCAATATTTAGGTTTAAATTTTATCAAGAAGTAGCTTCTGCATCTGTACTCTGTGACTGAGTGGTTGATTAGGGAAGGGAAGTTATTACTGATCAGTTTAATGGCATAGCTATTTGGGGTTCAGTGAAAGCAGCTAAGGGCAAAAAGAGAGCTGGGAAAATGAGGAGTTAGAGCATTTTGACTGTCATCCAAGTGGATGCTTTCAGGGCACAGGCCAGCCTCTGATCAGTGGTGTGAAAGAAATGTATTTGTTGTGTGTGCTAGTCATTATTGGAGACAGGATGCTGAGTTAGCTGTTCCACAGGATTGAGCTCATGAGCCAGTCCCTAGGTGTCACACTGATGGTGAGGAGGTAGTGGGAAAAGAAAATGGGCCCACAGGTGTCCTCACTGATATTTGTCTGCCTTCCTCAGAAGTCAAGATGAGATGCAAGCCTGGATTGACAAAATCAACTGTGTTGCAGCTGTCTTTTCTGCACCTCCGTTTCCAGCTGCTATTGGCTCTCAGAAGAAGTTTAGCCGCCCGCTTCTGCCTGCCACCACGACAAAGCTCTCTCAGGTGAGCTGCCATTCTAGTGAGCACATTTCCTGTGATAGTGATGCCTTTGGTTGACGGTAACCTTGGAAGGGGAGTGCAGGGGCTACACTATTTTCCTGCTATTCCAATTCAGATCACTATGCACAAAGTGGTGCTAGAACATAGAAATAATGGGTATTCTTTACTTGCTTTTTGGCATGAGAAATATTTGCAGAGTGGGGCAGGATTGGTGAGGGAGGGAGACTTTGACAAAGCTTATTTTCCTGAAGGAAGGGATCTTGTAGCTTTATATTAATTTTATATTGGGTACAAAGCCCTTATTCCATGTGAATGGCTGAATGTATAAGAACAAAGAGGTTACAGGCATGAGATATATGCTCCTGTAAGATTTATATGAACTATGCCTTTGAGCCCCCTCCTGTTCTAAAAACAAAGGTATGAGTATTTTTTTATATGTACATATTTTCTTGGCTCTTACTGACTTGCTAGAAAACTGCAATGCTCAGGACTCTTCGGGATTTTTTGGATGATAGAATTGAGTTTGAGCCACTTTCATGGCTCCTTGGTCCAGCTGTGAGGTGGTTCATCATCATCAATCACCCAAAGTCACTTAGAGCAGCATCAGAAAGGCTCTAATGCTGCCCAGGCCGCTGAACAAAGTACTCTAAATGCATGCATCCACCCTCATCTCTAGGACCTATTCAGGTGATTTGCATCTATTCACCACTTGGGATTCCTCCAGATCAGAGGACTTTCTAGAATGTAAGGTAAACCAACTTTGTGCTTCCCTGACACTGTGTCAAGACAAGTGTATTGCTTACTACCAGCTTCTTGAAATGTTGAGACATGAATGACTGGTGCCTCCTGCAACTGAGGGGGCACCATGGCAGCAAGCAGGGACCACCCGCAGCTGCCGCCTGTGGTGGTGTCGGTGAGTGGGGACTGCCTGCAGCTGCCACCGGCTGCGTCGGTGGTGGGGTGGGGTGGAGGGCAGGTGCGAGCAACAACCGTCTACAGAAGCTGGTGGCGACTTCAGCGTCAGCCAATCTCAGGGGGGCACATGCCCTCCCTACGCATCGCCTATGTAGTTGAGATTAAATTTGTGAGACACGATCTCCCTGATCTTGATTGCTCCTTTTCATAAATTTTTAAAGACCTGTTACCATCTTTACAGCTTCCTGATTCTGATTAAACACAATTCCAGTGCTCTCAGCCTTTCCTCATATGCTAGTTCTTCCAAAGATGGTATCATTTTCATCAGCTTCCATTGTACCCTCCTTAGGGCAATAATATTCTGTCAGGGTGATCAACTTCTCATGCCATGTGCAAGGTAGAAATCTAAAAAGTGCTTCTATAACAATGTAATGTCAACTTGTCTTGTTCTGCGTTTTCACTCTCTGTGAGTACAACCTAGTATTCAACGTATTTTTTTTTTTTTAACTGTAGCTTTGGTTGTTGTTTCAGTAATTTTCTCCCAGTAACCCTAAAAATCCTTTTACTGATCACTGTGCTGCGTGGTTGTTCCACTTAGCATGCAGTTTCCTAGATGCATTGTTTCCATTTTATCTGGAAAAAAATAATAATGGAACAGAACCCCAAGGTTTGTGTATTGGAGAAAGACAGACAGGAGGCGGGGAATATGATAAGCTATTTTTGCTAGGGCAAAAAAGAATGTTAAATTTTCAAAGCAGATAAATTCAAAGACAAGGAGAAACCTGTCTGCTTTTATCTGCCAGCTTGGAGATGATGCCAGCAGGCTGCTTCTCAGTCTGCAGAGGGTAAAATATGAATTGTCAACTTCCTCTGTTTTCTGTTTAGGATTTTGTAAACTCTTACAATGCATGCTTCCATGAGTCCTGATCCTGGACAGAAGAAAGCTTGTTCCAAAATTCTCGTTGACATCAATGAGTGCAAGATCAGATCTTACTTGTTTCATAGTTTGTAGGGTTGGAAGGGACCTGAGCAGATCATCAAGTCCAACCTCCCGTCATGGCAGGAAAGAGTACTGGGGTCAAACGACCCTGGCAAGGTGTTCATCTAGCCTCCTCTTAATGACTCCCAGGGTAGGAGCCAGCACCACTTCCCTCGGAAGTTGGCTCCAGATCCTAGCCACCCTGACAATGCAGTAGCGCCTCCTGATGTCTAGTCTGAATCTACCCTCTGCCAGCTTGTGACCGTTATTTCTAGTCACTCCTGGTAGTGCTCAGGGGAACAGGGACTGCCCCAATGCCTGCTGGTCCCCTCTGACTAGTTTGTAAATGGCCCCTACATCCCGCCTCAGCCTTCTCTTGTGGAGGCTGAACAGGTTCAGGTCCCTCAGCCTCTCCTTGTAGGGTCTGCCCTGCTGCCCCCTGATCATGCGGGTGGCCCTCCTCTGGGCCCTCTCCATGCTGTCCACATCCCTTCTAAAGTGCAGCGCCCAGAACTGGACGCAGTACTCCAACTGCGACCTGACCAGTGCCGCATAGAGGGGGAGGATCACCTCCTTGGACCTGCTCGAGATGCATCTGTGGATGCATGGCAAGGTGTGGTTGGCCTTCCTGACCGCGTCCCCACACTGTCGGCCCATGTTCATTTTGGCATCAATAATGACACCAAGATCCTTTTCTGCCTCTGCACTGATGAGAAGGGAATTCCCCAGCCTGTAGGTATGCTGCTGGTTCTTCGTCCCCAGGTGCAGCACCTTGCGCTTGCCAGTGTTGAAACTCATTCTGTTCTCATCTGCCCACCCCTGTAACCTGTGTAGGTCCGATTGTAGCCTATTCCTCCCTTCTAGCATGCTCACTTCCCCCAACATCTTAGTGTCCTCTGCAAATTTGAATAGGGTGCTTTTCACCCCCTCGTCCAAGTTGCTGATGAAGATGTTGAACAGCGCGGGTCCGAGGACCGAGCCCTGCAGAACCCCACTGCCCACATCCCTCCAGGTTGAATAAGACCCATCCACTACCACTCTCTGGGTGCGGCCCTCCAGCCAGTTAGCGACCCATTTGACTGTGTAGGTGTCAATGCCACAGTCCTCTAGTTTTTTAATGAGAATGGGGTGAGAGACCGTGTCGAAGGCCTTCCTAAAGTCTAGAAAGACTACTTCCACTGTTACCCCTGCATCTAAGGATTTTGTGACCTGGTCATAGAAGGCCACCAGGTTGGTCTGACAGGACCTGCCTCTAATGAACCCATGTTGGTTGCCCCTAAGCATAACCTCCCCTGCTGGCCCCTCATGGATATGCGCCAGGATAATTCTCTCAAAAAGCTTACCCAGGATTGAGGTAAGACTAACTGGCCTGTAGTTTCCTGGGTCCTCCTTCCTCCTCTTTTTGAAAATGGGAACCACTTTGGCCCTTTTCCAGTCCTCTGGAACTGGAAATAGGGGGTAGGGTGGAGGAGAGGCACCAAATTCCTTCTCAAGTCTTATGTCCTGTGTTTGGTAAGTTTTGGGTAAGAGGGGACATGATGAAAATATGGAGTCTAGAGAAGGTGGATCGGAAATGTCTCTTCCCGTCTCAGTGTAGGAACAAGCGTACATGAAATTCAAAGGTGGCAAATTCATAACTGATAAAAGGAGATGCTTTATCTCACTGGGCATAACTACATCATGGATCTCTCTGCCACTGGAAGTTATGGAGGTCAAGAGGTTAGTGGACAGAGGGGAGGAACATTTAGATCTGGATTATTATCAACGACCACAAGAATTCTGGAAGGGATATTAAACCTCATGCTTTCGGGCTTAAGCCAGACTCTTAACTTCAGAGATCAAGAGGAGGCTTAATACGACTGCCAGTTTCCCCACATCTATAGGATCTTCATAGCTTCCTCAGAAGTTGTTGGTACTGGCCACTTCCAGAGTGTGTATCTTCTGGACCTCAGGTTTGATCCAGCCTGGGAGTTCCTCCATTGCATCAGATTCCAGCATTTCTGCTCTCTCCTGCAGTATTAGCTCACTCAGCACTAAAGACCAATCAAGTACATTGAGCATGAAGCCCTGATTTAGAGATGGCCATAAGGCTGTCCTGCAGGAGTGAGGAACCTCACAAGCTGCAGGAAAGCATGCTGAGAGCTGCAGAAGGGATGCCATTCTCAACACAGATGGACTGGAGGAAGCGAGTGGGTTTGGGACTGTGGTAAAGGAAATTGTCTAGAAAGAAAGAGTAGCAACTCCGTATCTTTTCCAGCTGCCCAGGGGAATAAATGAGGAGAGGAGTTTAACCAAAGGAAATAAATCTTCCAGAGAGGACAGCATATCCTCTTCCCAGGAGAGCTTGTGCCTGGATACTGCTCTCAGCAAACGGATCCCACAGGCTGGCGAGCGTCTACTGGTAGAGTCATGGTGGGGAGATGTCTTATAATGATGCCAGCTCTGCCTCACAAAAGCCTGTTTAAAATTGTCAGGAGCCAAGGCTTTTACTTCTGCCCCACCTAACAGCACTGGTTTTGGCACAGCATTTCCTGGAGTGTGAGCACTACATCTTCAACAGTGCTGTACTGCCAGAATTTCCCATGGTTTTCTTATATGGGAGGAATGGTTGACTTGCCATAGGTCTGTTGGGAGTGTGAAGGTGCAGAGACTCTTTAAAAAGTAGGCTGTTCCATTGCGGTTCAACAGGAACTGAGGACCAAGGCTTGAGGACCTGACCCATATGATTTAGCGGCTTAGTTAAAAGAAAAATCTTTTTTGTTTTTAATGATACTTGTTAGAATCTTGGAATGGGGTGGGTGGGTGCTTTTCCTGTCTCTACTTATTACATGTTTTTGATTCTGACACATAAGTGCCTTGTATGTTTCTGAAGGATGAACAGCTAAAATCACATGAAGCCAAGCTGAAGCAGATCTCGACCGAGTTAGCTGAACATCGCTCCTACCCGCCAGACAAGAAACTGAAGGGCAAGGAAGTGGATGACTACAAACTGAAAGATCATTATCTGGAGTTTGAGGTAGGTGTGGGCTATTGCTGCGAAGGCACTTGGTGAGGCATCTCTATTGAGGAAAACTGATACTGTGGTAGAAATTATTGTAGAACTAAGACACTGAACAATACGGCAGTTGTTTTTCTAAACTGAAAAGGACTAAAAGTAGAGATCCATCTTATCATCACTCCTACAGGCAGATCTGTATATCAGACAGACTCTACAAAGTTTTTCTTTTACCTTATTAACACTAGTTAACAAAGTTCTGACCTACCTAACCAAAAGAAGGCACTTCAGTTTAAATTATATGTGAACAGATCCTTCTATGTAAAATGTGGTGGGTATATTTTAAACTGGGGATTTTGGTCAGTGTACTTGCACATAGTCTGACAGATGCAGATACAAATGATGCTAGTGCCACACGCATTTGACATAGTTCTAGATATCTGACTCCAGTTACTTTTTACCTCATTGGGGAGGATGGTCTTGCTATTAAGGACAGGGCCTTGAGAGCTTGGGATTTAGTTTCTCCCTTTGTCCCATCCATTTAGATTGAGCTGTCTTCATGGCAGGCACTGGCTCTCACTAGGTGCCTATACAATGGGGTCTCAGTATTATTTGGTAAAATAAAGGATAGTAATCGTGTTTCATGCATATACTCTAAAGTAAGCAGCCATTCTGGACTTACCCTGTACCAAGAGTTTTGATAAGGTTACCTGTACCACATGTAAAGTGGGAGAGGAAACAGATAAAATAGGACAGTAGGCCTTGTGCCACAAGGTAGACTGGAGCATGAAGAGATTTGTGCTGTGTCTGTGACAAACAGAGAGGAAAGTCTCCTCTTTCACCAGAGCATCTTCAGAGTTTCAGTTAGCAGGACTGTCCAGGGTTTGGGCAAATAGCCAGGGGTTTTCTGGTCTCTTCAGGCATGCAGTCCTGAACATTTCATATGGAGAGCTTCCTCTTGTTTTTTGCAGACAAAAGCACCTGGGTTTAGAGCAGAGATCTCATGGTGATCTCTTCCGTGTAATCTCTCGGTGAAGTTTTGAGGGTGCTGAGGTCCGTAGGCTGTGTTCTTTCAGGTAACACTGAGTCCTTTATCAAAAGACAAAGTAACTCCCTTTCTTCAAGGAGGAGAGGTACTTTAACTTGCCAACAAGCAATTGTTTGTTAGGCCTTGCATTGAATGCTGTCTCTTGATGCTGATAGTTACTGCTTATATTTCATTTTTGAACAAAAGATCGTGGGGAGTCAGTTTGGCAGACCTGTATGTGACAGATTTCTTTGGCCCCGATCACTCTGGTTCCAGTTCTGGTTAAGGCCTGAAGACAGCCCTGGTTCAATGTTTTGAGTCTCTTCTCTTGGTGATAGATAGAGGCCAGACTTCTTTACTGAGTTGTATACACCTTTGATACCATTAACCCCTGTGCATCAGGGAGGTAGCAGGATACCCACTTGCAGACCTGAGCTGTGAGGCCATCAGAGTGATATTTCATTGGCTTTTTTCCTTTATCTGTGTCAGGATGCAGAGAGGAGCATTCAGTGGGTGCTTTCTCTGCATGTATGTTTCTGTTCTGTGTTATTACAAGCTTCACTTCTGCCACCTTCTCATGCAAAGTGTTTGGTAAAGCCTCCAGTTGATAGGATCCTCTGCGTTCAGTTAACATCCAGCTTTATGTTCTGTCAGGCCTGGCTTGCAAAGCTGGCAAAGACATGGGCTTGGTTAGGAGTTAACAGGCTGAAGCTCCATCCAGATAAGATGGACACAATAGCTGTCCCAGGAAAAGCTACCAGAAGAAATGGTGGAGAAATATGAGCCCTGTTCCCTACCCCCTCAGTCCCCAGAATGATGGGGATTCTTGTCGTGCTTTGCAGTACAGAAGCTGTTTAATCAGCTGTCACTCCTAGATGTCACGGGAATTTGTCTGTCTCCACTTGCATAGGAAGGTCACATCCACTGGTACTGGCTCAGGGCTTTGTCATGACCAGCCCAGCCTCTGCCTCTGTTACTGTCATGTACTCCACTGGGGACATACCCAAGGATCAGCTTGTGCAAGATGTGGCTTTTTGTGGCCTTCCAAAAGGGCTGGCTAATAAAACACATTCCTTGGGGGTTCCAGAGGCTGTGAGAGCTTCCATGAGCTACCTTAATGTGTTGATCTGTATCTTAAAACTGCCTCTTTATACATGCCTTGTCCTCAGGAGCAGACATCCTTTGGATCACCAGACCCAGGCCAGGTTGATTTTGCAAGGGGGTCTTTGGAATACATAAGTCCATCAGCATTTCCCCTCTTGGCCAACAGAGTGCAAGTCTGATGTGCCTAGAGTTTTAGAGTTTATGGAGAAGAGAGTTATGGTATTTAGGAGATGAGAGACTTTTTGGAGGGCTGATTATGGTTGACACTAAGACCCTTTTACTGCTTCTCTGACAGCTTGGTGAGTCAGGGAGAACCAAGCCCCTGTGTGATTATAGCTTAGGGAGTTTGTTCCATGCCTGGTGTTATATTTAGTAATATATAGCATGCAGGCATCTAGAGAAATGGCCAAGGGCGTTAATACAAATCATAACTGGAACAACATACATTTAGGTAAAAGGTAACTCCTTCTTCCATAGAGAAAATCGCAAAGGACAGTTGAATCATGCAGATGAAATGAAATATGACCGTTGCTGTCAAAAAGGGCCCATAGATAAATGTTCTTGATTGCATATACTTTAATTGCATGAGAGAGGTGATTTTAACCTACTCATAGGTGAGGCTGTGTTATCTTCATGCTTGTAAAAGATTTCACAGAGCGCATAAGATTGCTGGCAGACTATAAAAAGCATAAGATCACTGTGAAAATCCTGAAATCAAAATGTTCCACTGGATTTCTTATTTGTCCCCATTCTTGGAGCAAAGTCACTGAAGTTCACTTGTGAGCTAGCAACTAACCTCTCCAAGGTAGGGGTGAGAAGGCTGCTGGCAGGTGAGAGTGTGACCTGAATTGTCCTCAGGTTAGTGGGAACAGTAGGTGGTAAGAGAAGGGAAAGGGAAACATGGAAGCTTAGTGAAAAGGGGCCTTATGTCCCATAGGAAACAGCATGGTGTCTTAAGGAAGGGAGGAGGCCAGATTCTCTTTTGTCTTTGGCCATTTTTTCCGTTTCATCTACCAGAATTCCCCTCATTTTTCATCCTGTAGAAAATAGTGCTGCTAGCCAAGTAGGTTCTCTCTGAAGGTTCTTTACCTTTAAATGTGCTTCAGATGTGGCCAAAAACCTGGCATGTGGTCACATTGTTGCATCCAATAAAGAAGCAGAGCTGAAGGCAACTTAAAGCATTTTGAGTATTTTTCTATTTAACATTAATGTTCTTGATTTCTTGATGTAATTACCCAGGGATCTTATTTATTTATGTATCTATTTTAAACAAGAAAATATGATACCCACTTGCAGAAGATCTGGCCTCGTGTCAAATTGTCTGGGTAGAAAAAGAGCTGATTAAAAGAGATGGACAACAGAGATGAAATCCTGGCCCTATGAAAGTCCTGACAAAACTTTTTGATTTATATATGGGGCAAAAATTCAGCCTGTTTTCTCTTTCTGGCATTAAAATTGTTCTAGTCTTGTACCCTCACATTTATTTTAACTGTAGGCACACATGCGTGCATAGAAAGAATGCACTTTTCCCTTGATAAATGTTGCGATGACCCCACGCTTGTAGCAATTTTTCCTTTCTTTTGCAGTGAATCACTCGTCCGCCCAAGGCATCATCAGAATTCTGTCCGATGGTTCTTCAGGTTTTTTGAGTGACACATCTTACCTGTTTAATATATTTGTCTCTGCAGCATTCAGCTGAAGCTGTAGATATGGAGTTGATAAGAATGCTTTTCTTCATTTAATTTTTAAGTGGGTTTCTCTTGTGATCTTTCTCTGTAAGAATCTGTTCCTTCAAAGCACTTCATTGGAATCCCAGTCACGTTTTCTTCTTTTACTTTTCCTTCTTTTTTTGTGCTCTTCAAATGGTTCCAAAGCCCTTTTTTCTTTGTTTTTTTTCCTTTTTTCCTTGCTTTTTGTGCTCAAATAAGTATTATTATTGCCTGGACTTTATTATTTTATTATAAACTGAGAGAATTTTTATTAAACATTTTTGCTTGATCAGGAACATAATAATTTGGAGACTGTTTTGTTATTTTGAAAAATGGATTAACAGTCAGCAGAAAGCCTTTTTCCCCCTCTTACCCCCCTCCACTGTAATCACTTTAATTACAATGCCAGCATTCACTTACTAGTGGGTGTGTCAGAGACAGGTTATTAAATGAATCACTTCTGGGGGGTAGCTCGCACTTTTCTCAATACCAGCCGTACTGGCTATCTTTTCTGAAGTCCTGCAGGGAATGCCTGTTAATCACTATTCATTCTTGTTGATTGCTAAGGTATTGTGCGTGCAAGAGCGTATTGTTACCCTCTGCAGAGCATGATTTTCCCATATCAAATGGAAATGTAGCAGTCCAGACACTGTACAAATCGGACTTTGAGCATAAAGACTTGTACGTCAACTCTGTAGAAATGCTGGGGTCTGAACAGGCAACAGACTTCTGGTATTTGGAAAGACTGCTCCCTTCAGAGGGAAGAAGATCTACTACCCTTAACAGCTAACCCCCATTTTTAGTGCTCAGGACTTGCACAGTGGCCTTCCATGAGTTATGGAGCAGGTAGAATTACCCTAATGCTAATGTAAAACCTGCCTTCTCACTCCACATTGGAGACAAACATGGAGTCCCTTTCACATGGGATTGTATGTGCACTTTGTGAACCCCCGTTTTTTTTTTTAAACCAAGTTCATGTAGAGAAAGCAGAACCTGAAGGATCACTTGAGTCTTAACCATAGCAATCTGAGCAGTAGCCACTTGTGTCCTGAACTGTTTCTGGTTGGGCATGCTCATGCTAAGCTGTGCCTCCCTCCCCGAGCAGCCCCATTTTCTTTCATTGGGTCTAATTATGGAATAAGATAGTACTCACCAGGAGTAAGGCTGGCAGTATCTTGTTTGGTATATTCAGAAATTGCCTTGCAGCACGTTCATTCAACTTGCTCTCTCATTGGCCAAGCGCCATCATTAGTCACAGTGCAGGAATTTGCACACTTGAGAAATGAGAGTAGTTCATTTTGCAACATTTCTGGGTTCCAGCTGGTTGAGGCAGTTTCTGTGCAATAATGGATGTTAGTCATATCCATATTAGGCTCCTGGATTTTAGGTTTGAAAGAGCCAAGGGGACCACATGCCCATCGTAGCCCATAGAATTTCATGCAGATTGATTCATTGCCTTTATTTTGTTTTGTTTTTTTTCCAGAAAATTCGCTATGAGATTTATGTTACCCTTCTGAAAGAAGGGGGGAAAATGCTGCTGAGCAGTAACGAGAATGATGGGCCAGGACTGAAGAAATCTCACTCAAGTCCTTCCTTAAATCAGGAGTCCCCAGTTAGTGCCAAGGTGAAGCGAAACGTCTCAGAGAGGAAGGACTACAGACCGGAAACACCCAGCATTAAGCAGAAGGTCACTTAGGGCGCATGAGACAGCAGGAGGAACAGCCATGCAGTAAAATGCCGGTGGTGGTCAAACATTTCCTTTGATAACCTGTCATTCACAAAAACAAGCGCATCTGCCTGAATGGGGTGTTAGTGACATTTTCTATTGTATATTTTGTTGTTCCTGTACAGATTGTGGGAGATGTCTTTGCTCCTGACTTGCTTTGCCTTGTTAATTTATCAGTTAGCAATTGAAGTTCCTCTTCTTATGTTCAAGGATTGGGAAGGGGACTAGGACTTTGTTTCATGTTGCTTCCCCTTTTACCTTTTTCCATTGGCACATGACTTTCATCTCAAGTCACTTGTGACCTTTCTGTGGTGGGTGGGAAAAGTAACTGGATGAGTGTTGCAGCCCAGTGAACTCCACCTGCAGCTACACACAAATTTTGTACAAGAATTGTTGCACAGCTGCAGAGGTAGGGCTGGCCACTTGCAGCGAGAGGTCAGTTAAAATCTGACACTGGGAATAGAGATTTCCCAATGATGCAAAACATGTTGGTACTTGTGCTCAGTGTTGGGAGCTGTGTAAATAGACAGGTTACAATATTGCATTCATGCTAGACCTGTAAATATTAAGGGGCTAAACCTGAAAATTGTTGGGAATGTTGAGATTCCAGAATTGAAGTAGGGTTTCTTTTTTGTCTTTCAAAACAAAAGCTTGGGGTACCAGGCAGAGGAAAACCCACTGCCATGTTTCTCTTGGTGGTTAGAGAAGATTCAGCCATTTATCAAGCGGTAACCCATTGTAGAGGTCAACCTTTCACCTTATGTTAAAGAAGCAAGAGGTATCCATGTATTTCTTAAAACCTGTTGTCTCATAGCTGCTATATAGAGAGCCTTAATGTACATTGTGCAGCTGCACTTTTTTCCCCTTTCCTAAAATTTGCTTCCTGTTTAGTATGCGCAGGTGGCCTGCATTCTCTCTGATATCAGCTGAGTGTTCTTTTTCTCTTGAGAAGGGAATCCTCCCCAATGATCCCTTTTAGTTGCAATCACTCTTAGGAAGTCCGTGTTGGAACAGAAGTCCTCACGTCTTAGGGACTTGATAATGGAATTGAAACTTTTTCTTCTGAGGGCCAGATACTGTCCCTGTTATAGCCTCCCCCTGCCTAGCAGCCAGAACAAAGCAGCCATAGAGTCAGCCAACCCCACCCCCCTGAAATCATCCAGCATGGCCACTTCTGCCTAATCCCTGCTTCTGCCTTCTGTACAGGAATCTGGGCCCAGGCAGAGGGACAAGGTTTCATTCTGTAGTATTTTGCCTAGCACAGTTCATTCCGCCTGTGAGCTGTAGTCCTTAATGTCCAGTGGCAGGCCATCTTAACAGCTACTGTATTAAGTAGCCTATAAAGAAACATGCTGGTGCTTTTAGATCAATTCTTATGAGGGCAGGTATTTACACGACAGAGATCACCACTCAAGTGGGTAGGCAGGCTCCACAGAGAGGCCAGAACCAATCAGTCATGGAAACCAGCTTACTCTAGACTACTGAGCTGCCAGACAAGCAGACAGCTGAGGGAGGATAAAGACTTTATGGAGCAGCTAAATCATTTTTCTGTGCCAGTTTCCCTTACAGTAGACAGCTATGAGATCACTACCCCTGTGCTATGCTAGTTGCGGACTGCTACAAAGATGCTGTGCCACCAGTGGCTGTAGGATTCGGTGAGGAGGTGGTGGAGCAAATGAATCGTAGTTGCAGTCAGTCAGCACAACGAGAGGGTACTGATTCCAACAGTTTTGACAGGATTTATGAAGTCACAGAATTGATAACAAATGTATGTAATCTGTTGTGTGCTAGAAATCTAGGGCAGGGCTGTCTAAATTCTAAGTGCCCGGGAAACATGTGCCCCCCTAGGCTGCATCAGTGGAGGCAGCAGCAAGGTGAGCCACTGGCCCTTTGGGCCACACGCCACTTGGGTGACACACTGCTGCATGTGATACCCCCACCAAACTGCTCTGTGCATACATGCCCATGGGCAGCCACTGCACTGTGCACCCATGGGTGCCTCTCCCTCCCAGCCACTGCACTGTGTGCCCACACAGCTCTGGCCTTACCCTCAGCTCTTCATGCTGTGCTGCTCTGCCGTGCCCCCTGGGGCAGGGCTTGGAAGTGTAAGTTGGAGGGGGAGGGAGAGACGGTAGCTCCTGCTGCAGCCAGAGCAGTAGGGGAGTAATGGCTGGACAGAAGGGTAAGGGTCATATTTTAACTGCTTGTGGGCCGCAAGCTGTCAGTTGGACAGTCCCGATCTAGAGGGTAGCTAATATCTTGCCCATCTTTAAAATTAATACTGGGGTGGACTGTGGGATTTGAAGAGCTGCCAGTAGAGATGGCTGACATTTTCCCCATTTGTTCTTTTTTAAATTTTAAGTTTGAACTGAAGTACACACAGAAGTGCTGACCTATGGAAGAATGTCTTCCTGAATGAAAGCCAAAGATAAATGCATAAGCAACATGCCGGGAGATGAAGTTCAGTGTAGACAGGTGCAAGGTAATGCACGTTAGAAGGACTTATTTGAATTACTCACTGTTGTGTAGTAGATTAGCTACTCAGGGAAAAAGCGTAGGCATCCCTGCAGCTGTTCATTATGTAGTGGTGGTATAAAAAAAAAAAAGAGGTGAGGTTATACAGCAAGAGAGAATAATCTGGGAATGTTGAATGCTGTAAATAAGGAGGTGATGTAGCTTTTCTGAGAGTGCCATTTCACTTCCCAAAAAGGCTACAGCCGAACCAGCAAAAGTCCAGAGCTGCCATTTGATCCTTGCTCTGTTACTGGGCCACTACAGCTCTGGGTTGATCTTGTTGAATACCCCCACCTGCCTCATTGGATTTGCAGACAGTGCAGTGGTTTAAAAAAGCAAAGATGTGACTTTTGAACTGTTCAGTTCTTGTGACTTTTTAAAAATACTCCAGCTCCTTCAAGATTGCATTGAAAGCTGGTGATCGTGCAAAATACTCTGGTACCAAACTGGCTAACTCATGGTCATGACCAGGAAACTCACTGCAGCTGTGGGGAGCAAAATTTACTTGAAAAGTTGGAGAGTGAGTTGCAAAAATACTTTTTGTTTATTTATTTATATTTCAAATGCTGTTTAGTTTTGATTATTTATTGTGCCACTCCAAGGACTGGGATATATTTTGTAAAATGTAATGGGTTTTAGTAAAATGTGATTTCTTTGAAGTTTTTAGTTATTAAATAGTTGCTGGGCTCCAAATGGTGTTGGTGAGAACTCTGAGGCCTATGGATAAGTTAATTGGCAATTTGTGAGCTTCTGTTAGATTTGAAATTGACTTTGCTTGAGTCTGTCCCTTTGCTAATGTCCAATGTAGCAAGCTCCTACATGAATGCTTTGATATGCCCATTGTTTTACTGAAAGGAGAGAGAAAAATCTAAGGAAAATCTTGCTGCTTTTGGAACCACTGGCAGAAGCTCACAGACTTCACCGAGGGCCAGATCAGATACTGAGTGGCACTTGTAGATTGCTTTCCTTTTAATGTTACAGTATAGTTAGAAAGGGTGGGCCAGATTCTCAGGAGCTGGAAATCAGCCTGGAAAACCAGGGAGCTCTGCTAGCACATGCATCTCTGGCCTCATGATTTCCTGGGATTTTCTGAGTACACTGTTTTCCTGCTTCTGAATACTTGTTTATCATATTTGTTTGTCCAGTATAGTTATTCAGGCCCTCAGCTGCTTACATTCCAGCTCATTTGTGGTGAGGGGAGAATCACTGCCAGGCTATTGGTCCCGTGGGGCTGGTAAAAGACCCAGAGGTTAGCATGCTGCAAGGCAAGCCCAGCCATTATCCCAGATACGCCCCCTGTGTTGACTGCAGGAAGGGGATGTGATGTATGAGTGGGATACTGGCTTTATGTATATCATCCAAGGAGTCCCCTACCAGAGGGTGACTTAAATATCTACACCCAGGTGCACTGGCTTGAGGTCTCAGTGACATGAGAGTATCATATCACTGGCCCAGCACAGGGCTGAATGTAAGTCCAAACTTGGGTTGGACTGAAGGTTTCTTTCTATTCTGGCACCATGTAGCCTAGGTGGCTTGAAGTTCCTGTCAGCCATGGCTGACAAGGCCATTCCAATGCAGGAAGAGCTCTTTTTCTTAGAATTAACCCTTTGCATTATTTTTCCAGGAATTAAAAACAAAACATCCTTCCAGGAATTGCACAGGTAATCTATATAGAGGCATGACGGTGTTTGCTGAATGTTTACTGTCACCCAGATCAGTAGCAACAAGCTGCAAGTTAGGATAAAACAAAGCTGAAACTCTAGGGTGCCTAGACATGAGCTGGGGGGTGGGGGGGCGGGGCGGTGCATTTTAATTAGAGCAGCTCTTGGACTTTTCCAAGGCTTCTCTCCTATGGTCCTCAGCAACACCTCTCATTGGCATCCCAGATTAAATGTGTGAGGGTGTCAGGATCAGGCCTATGGTAGGCCAGGCCATCTCTGAAGCCTTGTGCTTAGTTTACGCATCACGGGCTGGATTAGCAGCTCTAGCTAGGCAGAGGATGAGGCTCCCAGTGGGTCCTGCTGACAGCTGCAAAATTCCAGTGCTCATTAGACCCCAGTGCAAGCCTGGGGCTAGGAGGGAAAGAAGTGGCATGTTCACCTCTCCATTTTGCTTGCTGCTGAGGGGCTC